TACTTTTGTCTAGATTTTTCCGTAACATGCAGTACATGAACACTAAGTAGAGAATATGTCTTTCCCATGACTGATAGCTACCTTAATTTACGTAGGCTTTTGTGTATCAGGGACAATTCAAGTCTAGAAAAAGACACTTGAGATCTTTAATCCATTTTACAAAAAGGATAGATTCAGCAAAGAATTTACTGTAGAATATAAACATTATCATTGAACATGTTCTACTTGTTTAGAATAAAACAATAAAAAAGGACATGCTCAGTTTAGCTGTAGACGCAGTCATTTTCTTTTTCTTGAGAAATCATTTTCTTCAAGCATTAGTACTGCTTCTTTACTAAAAACTAAGACATTAGATGCTGTCACAGACAGAATACTGTAGAAAATCGTTTGTATCACAAGATACTCCCCTTGCAGCAGGGTTCCAAAAGAAAAGAAATCAAAATCAACATGTTATACTAAAGAAGCCTCTAGCATTCCAGCACTGTAACACTACTTGTAGTCACAATTTTTTATATGACTATTTTAACAGATTAAGGCAAAAGCTACTGATGGACTCACTTCCCATCCCAGCCTATGCCTCTGACTCGCACACACTTCTATAACCTGTGTCCTCAAGTACCAGTAGATACATTTCCTATTTGTAAATGTAATGTAATTTGAACATACTAACGGTTGTTTTTTTTTTTATTTCTTTCTTTTTAAAAACCACAGAATGACTTTCACTCTCCTGTTTTTGCCACTGACCACTTGCCTTCCTGGAGTCAAATCCATTGAATAATGCATACACTGAAAAATAATCTGCGTAACTGCATCTAGTTAAGCTAAACAAACCACCTGTCCAAACGAGAGGGTCCCATCTCACTGCAGGTATTTGATCTCCAGAAGCAGATGGGAGATTGACAAGGTGATAAACTGCTTTTATTCAGCCTTTGTCTAAACATGCAAATTGTAAATAGCCTGCACAAATTCACACTACAGCACTCCTTAAAACAAATGAAAAAAAAGGCACAATCTCATATGGCTGCAAGGTGTGACCTTCATTAACATTCTCCCATTTGGTTTTATTCTAGAAGTGCATCATTATACAGAAGCCAGAGAACTCAGCTTACAACACACCAACTTGGCTCCATCTCCAAGGGCAGATCACTTCCATGTGAATCAAATAGACACAATGCAGTTACAGGAAAGCAAGGCACATTTTGGCTATGAGAAAGTATTCCTTCCCTGCACAAGCACATGAGAACATTAAGAGTCAACACTTACAATGCCTTTTTTAATGTACTTAAACAGCCTTTTAATCTAAAATATGAGTAATACGGTAAGAGCACAGCCTCATGATCTGAATTCCTATAGGCAGCATTAAACCCACTCATTCTATTTTTGTTTTCCTTACACAGCAAAGTTGGCAAGAAGAAAATTTCAAGACCTCCTCCTGGATTGGTTTTAATTTTGGTCTGAGCTCATAAGGCTGTTCAACACTTCTGAAAGTCCCACAGACTTCTTCAAAACTCTCAGCATCCTACAATGAACTGATTCTCTCTCTTCTTTTAGAGCACAAACAGCAAAAGTTCTTTGTAAAAGTAAATACTAAATAAATTATACTCATTAGAAATTGTACTGTTTCTAAAATAGCGTATGCACAAAACTTTTACTTCTCTGAGAAGCCATCAATAATTTAAGTAGGAGGGTCTACTAAATGCCAGCCACTGATGATTAGATGTGATCAGATTACAGTTGTGCCCTTGTGCTCCTTTTCTGAAAATTAAACTATATTCTAAAATTTTCAGGAACCTTGAGGTCAAAATAAAGTTGGACTTGAGCTGTAAGTTTTCAATAGAGAAATACGTTTTAAACAAAATTTAATTGCATGAAAATCCTGCTTCTCCAGCATTAAAAATGGAAAGGGCAATTACAGCACACCTATTTGATCAATTCCTCAGCACTCAGGAACAACCAAACAAGGCACGAAGCATGCCGAAACTTACAAAACTTCCCAAAAATCAAGGAGTAATCTTGTTTTGGTGGAAAAAGCAATCAGAGCACACAGAAGAGCCTCCTTCCTATCGCATTTACACCAGCAACTTGGTTCACATACCGAATGTCCAAGCACCACCTCTGTCAAATTTCACAGGCCACGACTTAAACTTCTTTTAACAGAGCAAAATTTTAGAGATACAAATCAAAACATCACAACCAACCTGACAGTGGGAGCGAAAGCATTCAAGCTCAATTATGGTCTGACTTTTGGGTGGCCCTACGTAGAGCCAGGAGCTGAAGTCAGTGACCCTTATGGGTCCTTTCCAACACAGGATATTCTATGATTCTCCTCAATACTCAGCAGCAATATGGGCCAACTGACTCACGTAGTCATTTACAACCTCTATTCCTACCACTTTCTTCTGATTAGTCTGAGGCATCATGGTGCCATTGTGATGTTGCCCAACAACTGTATGCACACCCCAGGGCCCACCTGCACAGATGACACATGGGACTTACTCCACTTCTAGGCATTGCTGGGCAATTCCACTGTTAGTCTCATAAAATAATTCACAAGAGAATACTGAAGAGAACAGCCTTCCCTCCAAGTTACATTCTGAACAAATAATCCTAGGAGAGCTTTACCCTCTTATCCTTACAGTAAATTACTTCTCCTGGCTCACAGCTTTAAGATTTCCTTGCTTTTTAAGTTAGTGTTGAAATATTTAATCACAGATTTGCTAGATTTAACCACTCAACCCAAGGTTTCCCAGAAACTTCCATGCCCCCAACGAGAGTTACAAGAGAAGTTCCCTATGATCAACATGACTGGAGAAAATAAATAAATAAATAAATAAATAAATAAATGAATAGGATTTACTATGGATTTCCTCCCAGTAATCATTCATAGCTTGAGTTTAGCAATAAAGAAATCCATCATCATGGGCCTCCAGCACCATCTGGGAGACGAGGCTTTTGGCAGAGAAAAATGGAGCAGCAATTGCCCAACAGCACAAGAAATCAATGGCTTCCCTGCACAGGGGGAGCAACAGGCTGCTCCCGCTGGCACAGGTCATTGATTTCCATTTCTGCCAGCAAAGCTGCTTTGCACACTCAGGGAACAAAGTTTCCACTACATCACAATGATGCACACTCCCTCTGAGAGACCCTGCCCCTATTAATGCAGCAGGCAGCAAACGATACAATTTGAGCATGACAGAAAGGGAAGAACTGTGAAGACACCTGCCTCTGAGTAGAGCAGTCAGGCACTGATGTTTCAGGCTGAAAGGTAGCTAATCAACGCCCTGTTTGAGGCTGGGTTTTGGGCTGTGAGGTAGGCAGCAAGTGCCCCAGTATATACTGCTGATTTAAACTCAGCTCAAATCCCTGGACTTGAAAAAGTATTCAACTCCGACAACGTGTATGTCAGGAAAACCTGACCTTCCCTTCCTGCCCAGTAACAGAACAGTACTATTTATTTCTAGCAATTAGAGCTGTGAAACAGATGTAAAAGTACTTCCTGATTTTAAGTACAATCATACAGGAGAGTCTGGAATACGTGACAGCCATATCAACAAGACAGTTGCATCTCAACATAAGTTGAGAGCTTCCTCTGAAACACATTTTACCTTCGCCCCAAGTAAACATTTTGCCCCAGGTCTGAGTTCCCAGAGAAGCCACAGTAATGGGATTATTAAAAGCATGTATGCAGTCATCAAGAACAGAACAACAACTGTCTGTAAATGGTGTCAGAGGTTACCAGTATAAAACAGCAGATGGAAGGGATTTCTGGTCAGTCCAGACTTGGCTCTGATTTGAACCAGCGCTCTGAATAAGCAGCTTGTCCACTAACCAGCATCTCTCAGATCAGAGGGCACTGCTGTACCTGTTTCCAGAGCTATGCCCGCATACTGACCCCAGTAGCCATACACATGTGAAGCTCACCACTGGATCTGCTGGCAGAGTATTTACCTGAATCAAGCTTGTTTCGCAAGCCATCTGCTAATAGCTACACTGTTAGCTGTATCTAGGCTCAATTATTCACAGATAATCTGTAAGCAGTTGAAGTAGAAATACCTTAGTTTCTGTAGCAGTTCCTTGGTGAGCCCATTTGCTCACTCTGCCCACATTCTATACCTATATCGTGTCTTCAGATTAAAAGGTTACATTTGAAAATTTAAGTATCTTCCTTATTTCTCTAGAGTCATCACTGCTCTAAATCAATTCAGGTCATGCTGAAATTAGTCTTGTCCTTCATCACGTTAACCGCTTCTCCAGTTTTGCTATAATTAATAAATGTTCGTAGATAAATTACAAATAAAGTGAAAGACAAAAAGAAGTAGGATTAGAGTTTAATACTGTTTTTCCTCGTCTCTTCCACCCTGAGTTCAATAAGCAGCCTCTCAAAAAATCTCACCATACCACACCACAATTTAATTAGTCAGCAGAGACACAGCTTGAAGGTATTTCATTGAACATGTTACCTACACGAGAGTCCTTAACAGATATGGGCACCGTGCTTAACCCCATCTCATTTCCTGTGAAAGGGAAAAATCTCACATTTTGTAAGCTTTTCAGCTTTCTCTCTGTTAAAGAGAGATTCAATTTGGCCATTCTGGAAAGCAGTAGGTCTGAATGTAGCATGATGGAATGTGTCTCCTTGCTTATCGATTGTACAGCTTATGGAAAGGCAAATACAGTGACTGAAAACTGAAAGTTAACAGAACAAGATTCTTTAAAACAACATCCTTCATCCCAAACTTGCAGAATGCATAGCCTAAACCACATCATACTTTTGAATGACAGATTTAGAGCTATATCATAAACAGCAAGACCATCATTGAGGCCAATAAATGCTTTATGGTATGTTCTTGAGCTGATCACAGATCTTACACAATAAACAGTAGAAGACTTGATTCCAGATCACTCCAGAGAAAGGTAATTTTCTACTTAAATACTATTATGTTCCTCTTGGAAAATTGCCTTTTCTTTATGTTGAGAATGATTATGAGGAAAATTCTTACCTGTTTTCCATCTAGTGTATACAAGCGCTTAACGACTCCCGAATCAAGCTTGATGGCATCAGTTATATCAGTAAGAACCTGTTCAAATGAATGTGCTGTCTTCTTGTTAAGCAGAATCCGGACTGCCTTCCGTGGTTTCACTCCACTTCTGATGATAGTGACTAGTTTAGGCCTAATGAAATCCTTATTTTCTTTTGTATCTGGAGTACCTCCTTTAGCAGTGGCAAGAGACGGCACTGAGCGAGAAGTAGAAGTTGTCTTAACATTCACTGACCAGTTTGGGTTTACATTCTTCGTGTACTCCAGCTTCTTGAAGGGCTCTATTGAACCACACACATAGCTTTCCCCTGCAGAAACAAAAGTGCCAGACCAGCAAGTCAGATTGGAGGGAGAAAAAAAAAAAAAAAACAGGAAGAAAAATTTTTTTTTTCTCAATTATTAAACATTTACTGTTATAACTCCTGATCTACAGTGTGTAAGGCATTGATATTCTCCCTTTGCAGCTGCTACAGACTAAGGTATCTCCTAAGGTATCTTTTAAAGGACACTCATCAGCTGGTCATTAAAGAAAATGCTGTCACGAACTGCTTGAAAGTAGTGGTTTTCTCTTTAGAAAGCACTACCAGAAGTGGGGACTGCTACCATCAATAAACAGTGTTCATATCTAACCACCTGTCCAGCTCCAGTCCATTTTCACAGTAGTCCACCAGCCCTCATGCTTCCAAGCAAAACAGCATGCCCCAGAAACTTCAGAGGAAATAGTATGCAACGTTACCCAAAACTACAGGTTATACATTACTTTCAGTAAAAGGTTGGTGAAAACATCACAGGAAATTTTTCACATTTGATTATTTGAAGCTTTAAGTAACATAAAACTAGAATATGTGTACTCAAATCTTATTATATTATTCTGTTGACTCAAGGTATTATAAAGGGGAAAAAGAAGGAAGAGGAATTACAGAGCTCCCCTCCCAACACAGTGGGAACCACAGCTTAAAGAAAACCATAGTTTAAGGAAAAAACTTGGTTATAGTTCAGATTTCTATTGGAACATTATCTACAATGAAGTATTTTCAGCATTCCCACACGCACATTTTCTGGCTACATGATGGTTCCCCAGAAACAGCAGCAGCACATCTTTATTCCTTAATCCATTTCAGCTGCAGGCTGTTGTGAAAAAGGCACCCATTTGTGTGCTCCCAACCTCTCCCTTGTGCTTGTCCGAGAGACTGCAGTGCCAGATGCACTAGGTAAGTTGGACCAGCTTATTGATTTGATGGCACATAACAAAGACAATACTTTAACACTGCAACAAACTGATCCTGCACACCCTCCAGAAAAAAAAACTGCAACAACAAAAAAGCCACATTAAACAACATTAGAACAAGCAAGACCACACCTCCTGGCAACATGTAGTTAAATTGGATTACAGATAAAGCAAAATCCTATCCTGGACGATACCACAGAAACATCTGAGATGTTTCATTTCTTCTCAGTTCAATAGTTCAGAAAAGATATTTATGTTTGCAGCTTATCCCAAGGTATCCAAAAAAAAAAAAAAAAAAAAAAATGTAATGAGATGTGAGATGTGCCTCCAATGCCAAACAGCACAGAAGAAACAAAGCCCCTCTACACACCAGAAAACAGACTTTTCTTTACTATGAGAGCAGTGAGGTGCTGGAACAGGCTGCCCAGAGAGGTTGTGGATGCTCCATCCCTAGAGGCATTCAAGGCCAGATCGGATGGAGCCCTGGGCAGCCTGGTCTAATATTAAATGGGGAGATTGGTGGCCCTGCATGTGGCAGGGGGGTTGGAGATTCATGATCCTTGAGGTCCCTTCCAACCCTGGCCATTCTGTGATTCTGTGATTTTTGAAGTATCCTTACCCTAAGTAACGGAGGATTCACTGTTTAATTATTGCCAAGAAGAACTTAGTTTTTGTTGTAGTTGCCAAAAGATTTCAGGGCCCTCAACTCCCCAGACAGTGCAGCGCACATCAATACAAAGAATGCCAGAACATATGTAAAATTACACACTTAACACTGGGAAGGGAACATGAAGGGGAACCTTCCTACGATTGCAGGATGCAAAAGAGCTCCCAGCTTCGTACTAGCAGAGTTGGCATGATGCTCAAAGGTGAAACTGTAATAGCACGCTGCACAGTGATTACCAGAAAGCTAGCTGAAGGACTCCAAGAAAAGACCAAGGAACTCGGAGAAACACGTGAAGATGGACTACTGAGCAGAAAAGATAAATGCAATGACAGCGTAAGATCAAGCAAGAAGATTTTTGTTTTTCTTTTAGTGCTCTTTTAAAGCAGAGTACAAAAAGCAGAATGGGAGATGAAACATTCCAATGTTTGCTAGTCAGTGTTTAACTTCAACTTTATCTGCACTCTGCAGAAACATTTGAAGTGTTAAGGAAGGAATCTAAGACAGAGTGCTTACACTAACCCTAAGACAAAGGTAAGCCCCTTCTAACCATGACAGAAAATGATATACATCTGCTAACAGGAGAACAAAAAGGCTTAGCAGCACTAATGATCCAGCAGCAATCAAACAAGACATGCTCTTTTATCCAAGTCCCAGTCCAATATTTTCAGCACTGGCTACTCCTTACTGCACGGACAGAATTCATCCACAACGACTTCTTATCTTTAGAAATTGTTGATTTTACAAAACAATAATATTTTGTACAGGAAAAAAAGTTAAAGGATCCTACTATGATATGAATAGGACTGTCCTCAATATGATAGTAACTGCTGTATAAAATGCTTGGCCAAAAATCATAGATCTTCAAAAAATTTTCATTTTCTTGAGAGGCACTTTTGGTTCACTTTCTTGAAAGGACAGCATTCCACATGACTTCTAATATCTTCTTTATGTCAAGGTTAGCAGGCTTCTTTGTAATGTATAACAGCATGTCAGCTCTTAGCTACAAAACTAATTTTGTGTAAATGATCATAAAGCACTCATTGAAGCTGTGGGATTGTTTTAACATCAGACTGTTTTCCCCTTCTTCATTTCCAACCAAGCTATATTACACCAATAAGATATCTGCACCCAAGGGAAAAATATCTTTTTCACTTGAAGAAGCTCAAGTTTAGATGCAGAATGTCTTAGAGATTGAGTATCCAAATCATTGTAAGATTAAATATCAGTAGTAACAGCTATCTTATACAAGAAAAAAAAAAATGAGACCTTTCCCATCATGTTGCAATTTAAGATTGCTTAAGCCTCCAAGACTGTCTGAAGCATAAGAAAACTCATAGTAAGTTGGCCTGGGACTGCAGCTGTCATTTGTGGGTGTTCCTAAGGGTAAAATCTGACAGAACACAAACTGAATAGGAAATAACCCATAGTCCTAAGAAGTATCTCATCTCAAATTGATGAAATTATGGTTTAAGGTGATAATCAGCAAATTTTGAGTACTCTTAATCCTTGGAACACTTAAGTACAAGCTTAAATTTCCTGATGTTGGGACCCATGTTGATGGGAGCAAGAAATTTCGATATCTAGAATAATCCTTCAGCATTCATGCTGCTTACATATAGAGGAAACATCAATATAAAGCACAAAAAGCCTCCACCTTAGTTTTCATCCTCTCTTCATAGTTACCTAAAGAAGAGAAGTCTGCAAAGAAGTTTCCTAGTGGGCACCAGTCCAATAAAGCCAATTTGTGCATTTACTGCGCTTCCTCCAAAGTTTGTCCCAGGTGCTGTAATGTGAAGCCTGGGAGGTCTGTGATTCAACAACCTGAACTGGAGTCTGGAAGAAAGCAGGCTTGCTGTAGTTAAGAGAAGACAAAAACTAATCAAGTGATAATGCATTTATTTATTTTAAATTTTTTTTGTAACCTTTAGCTACTGTTGCTACAGGCAACAGCCTCACTGCAATTGAACCACTAGAGCCATTAAACACTGAAGGATATTCTCATAGGTCACAAAAGAACTTCCTAGTGTGCTTCATGTAATAAAACCATATGTATGTATGCAAACACATACACATATGTGTTTACATATGTATTACACATACAAATAACGGACACAAGGTGGCTGAAGAAGAGACATTGAATCACTCTGTCTGTAAGCACAGATACAAGTGTTTGATCCTCTCTTTTGTATTTGGACATTAGCAGTTAATTTGTTTTCTGGTAATGAGAATATTTGCAAACTGGAGAAAGACCAAGCCAATATATCTTAAAAAGAATGAGTCATGGTGCTTTTCTGCGCTAAAGGCAACCCAGCCTAAAATGGCTTCATACAGAAGCCAGTAGGACATAGGTGAAAACCCTGGAGAAGAAACAGAGTCATGGAATCAGAGAAGAATACTTTCCATTCATTAGACAGCATGACTGTCAATTTACTGAATATCTTCTTGATTCCTTTAAAAAAGCAAAAACTGTGAATAGGAATTGGGCTTGTAAGGAATTAGATTTGTTTGGCTTGGAAAAGAGAAGGCTTCAGGGAGACCTCATTGTGGCCTTCCAATATTTGAAGGGGGAATACATAAACAGGAGAGGGAACAGCTGTTTATGAGGGTGGATAGTGATAAGACAAGGGGGAATGGTTTTAAACTGAGATAGGGGAGGTTTAAGCTAGGTATTAGGAGGAAGTTTTTCTCACAGAGGGTGGTGATGCACTGGAACAGGTTGCCCAAGGAGGCTGTGGATGCCCCATCCCTGGAGGCATTCAAGGCCAGGCTGGATGTGGCTCTGGGCAGCCTGGTCTGCTGGTTGGTGACCCTGCACATTGCAGGGGGTTGAAACTCGATGATCACTGTGGTCCTTTTCAACCCAGGCCATTCTATGAAAAGAAAGTTCATGCACAAGACAACCAGTAGGGCAAACTGCAGCAATTGCACTCTTTGGCAGTGAGACATCCCAGTGAAGATGCTTAATGCAGCAGTCATTCACTGCAGTTTGTTTCCCAGTGGACTGGAGGACAGTTTAAGAGAACAGGGAAGGGGACCAGTACCCCCAGCACAGAGCACAACAAGTACTTCTTCACTTTCATCTCCTTGGTTCTGTATAAGCAAAAGACAGGAAGAATCTCTCAGGAGATGTGACAAGGAATTCACACTACCCCCCATCATGAAGAGCAGACTGCACAAGGAAGATGACCTGAACCAAATAAATTACTACTAGATGCTCCCAGATGTGTTAGTTCATAGAGCAATAACCTACTTAAACTATATTAGTGCTGCCTTGTCTTTCTTTAGTATCTGAAAAAATGCAACACTGCAAATGAGACGGGGCATTGATAGGAAATACACCTCATCTGCCCATGTTCACCTACCAATCAGACACACCAAGAAACTTTAAATCAGGTCTCCTCAGATTTTTTGAG